ACGGTGCAAAATGATGAATAACTAGATGTTTACTTATTTCGCCGACATCTATGCGAGGAACACATCATTGCAACAGTTGAAGATACGTTAAATTTTCAAATATTAATTGAATTTACAAGTGACCCAAGAAAACATATAAAATCTTTTATAAAAATTATAGATAAATTTTTGGTTATCACTTTCCAATATCTTTGAATATATTATATGAAAATAAAACATCAAAAACTTAGTGAAAAAACTAATAAATAAATATAAAACGGCAAAAATTGATATGCACAGAACAGAAGAATGATTCCAATTTTACCAAAGCTCTAGTTTATATTTAAATGCTTTTCAAACTGAATTTTTTCTAATTTATTTCAGGACAATTACGGTGAACTCACCGTGTTTCGGCTTGACATTGAGTTCCGGGACAACTTGTATTTATGTAATATATATATATATATATATATATATATATATATATATATTTTGTAGAGTTTCGAACAAGAATCCAAAAATAATACAAAATAAAAAACAAGAAAAGTTTTTAAAAAAACAATTTCTTTATTTAATTATTTGTTTATTGTCGACGTTTCGGAACTAGGTACGTTCCATCTTCAGGACATCTGTCAAGAAACATGATCTTGATGAGATTTTAGCAAACAATATGTTTAGGAAAAGAAAATAGATTTTTCTTAAATAATGAATTAAATTGTAAAAAATATAATAATGTACAGAAATATGATAATATGTTCAAAATAAAAATGATAAAAATAAATGAGTGGATTATCAGAACAGGATATTAAACATAATAGAAAATTTTTTTGAAAGTTATGGAAATTTTTTAAGAAAAGGTTAATGACAAAGTTGAATTAATTACCTGTATGTTTGAATATTTGTTAGCACTTTTTCACTAAACAAGCTTTTTTAACAAAAATGATTTTGTGAGTTAATTTTCCGCCGAATAATTAGATTTTGTAAATCAAAATTACTAAACAATTTGTCTTTTTTAAAATTATTATTTGAAAACACAAATAATATTGTTCTCTGGATGTTGTTCGATTGGTTTTCGAAAATTAACTAAATGAAACTGGTGTGCCTTTTGTAACACGTGTAAACACTTGAACGAGAGATGTGAGATTGTATGTGTGTGTTTTTATATGTTAGGGTGTGAATACTTAAATTGTTGATCTTAAAAGGAAGTCGATATTAATTGTTTGTCAAAAAGTGTAAAAAATTTAAATATGAATCATGTAATAGGTTGTGATCTGATCTAATGTTGACACTGTTAGAAACATTTATGAGGATGAGACAACTCTCCGCGAATAACCTTCTAAAGATGCAACTTTCGTGATATAAAATCTTTGGAGTGAAATTAAATGAATGGGCGTTTTCTATAGAGTGTTGTACTAGGGTACTTTTGAAATTTTTTTGTTTATGGTGGACCACACTTAGTTCATGTTGTCTCATTCTCTTGTGTACATATTGGGAGGTTTGTCCAATATATTGAAAAGCACAGTCATTACAAGAAACAGAATATACTACATTAGTATTGAGATTGGATGGGGTGGGGGATTTAATGTTCGTAAAGAATTGGTTGAAGGAGTGTAAGGATGAGCCTGATACTAAAATGTTTTCTTCTAACAAAATTTTGGCAAAATAATAATATAAATCTTCAACGTATGGTATGCTGCAGTAAATAAGATTGGTGTTTTTGATGTTAGTACTGGTATTGGGAGAATTAATTTGTGTTTTTAAGAAAGTTCGTCTTTTTTGAATAACTGAATGAATGAGATTTTTTGGGTAACCATTTTCAATTAGAGTTATTTTTACTAGGGATAAATTTTGTGGATGGAAAGTTTGGTGAGACAACAAAATAGCATGGTCTGTAAGGGAAATAATAGTGTTTATCTTATAGTTTCTGGGACAGTATGAGGAATAGTGTAAGTATCTACCCGACCATGTCGTTTTTCTATACCAATTTGTTCGAACAAAGTTATTAGTGTTGTAAACGGATACATCCAAGAAATTAAGTCTGTTGTTATTTTGTAGTTCATGTGTGAAAATTATATTATTGTTAAAATTATTGAAGAGATCTAGTACTGTGTTTATATGATTTTTGTTAATGATAAAAAAAGTGTCATCTACATATCTAATATAAAAGTTAATTTGAAATTTTAAAGTTGAGAAAACGGAAATTTCTAGTGTTTGTAAAACTAAGTCGATGATTCCGGGAGATAAGGGACATCCCATAGCTGCGCCTTTAATTTGAGAATAAAAGTTGTCTTGGCAATGGAAATAGGAGTAATTTAAAATAGTGTTGATAATATGAGTGAAGACTGTTTTCGGAAAGTCAGTAAAGTTACAAATTGTGTGCCAACGTTTATCGATTGAGTTTAGGATTAATTCATGTGGGACACATGTAAAAAGGTTGACCACATCTAAGCTTAGAAATAAGTGATTTTCAGGGATGTTGCGGTTATTAATTAAATTCACAAATTGGTACGAATTCTTAACATAATAGGGAGAATTGATTGTAACATTTTTTAGGACATCAGAAATGAGTTTCGAAATATTGTAAAAAGGAGAGCCAATGTAGGAGACAATCGGTCTGAAAGAGCATTCAGGTTTGTGTATTTTTGGAAGACAGTACATCTTAGGGGAGATAGGGTGTTGTATTTTTAGGTTAAAAGCAAAATTCTCAGAAATTAGTTTTTTGTTTTTCAGATCATTGATTAATTTAAAAGCTATTCTAGAAAAACGTTGTGTGGGATCTTCTGATGTCCTAAAAAATGTTACAATCAATTCTCCCTATTATGTTAAGAATTCGTACCAATTTGTGAATTTAATTAATAACCGCAACATCCCTGAAAATCACTTATTTCTAAGCTTAGATGTGGTCAACCTTTTTACATGTGTCCCACATGAATTAATCCTAAACTCAATCGATAAACGTTGGCACACAATTTGTAACTTTACTGACTTTCCGAAAACAGTCTTCACTCATATTATCAACACTATTTTAAATTACTCCTATTTCCATTGCCAAGACAACTTTTATTCTCAAATTAAAGGCGCAGCTATGGGATGTCCCTTATCTCCCGGAATCATCGACTTAGTTTTACAAACACTAGAAATTTCCGTTTTCTCAACTTTAAAATTTCAAATTAACTTTTATATTAGATATGTAGATGACACTTTTTTTATCATTAACAAAAATCATATAAACACAGTACTAGATCTCTTCAATAATTTTAACAATAATATAATTTTCACACATGAACTACAAAATAACAACAGACTTAATTTCTTGGATGTATCCGTTTACAACACTAATAACTTTGTTCGAACAAATTGGTATAGAAAAACGACATGGTCGGGTAGATACTTACACTATTCCTCATACTGTCCCAGAAACTATAAGATAAACACTATTATTTCCCTTACAGACCATGCTATTTTGTTGTCTCACCAAACTTTCCATCCACAAAATTTATCCCTAGTAAAAATAACTCTAATTGAAAATGGTTACCCAAAAAATCTCATTCATTCAGTTATTCAAAAAAGACGAACTTTCTTAAAAACACAAATTAATTCTCCCAATACCAGTACTAACATCAAAAACACCAATCTTATTTACTGCAGCATACCATACGTTGAAGATTTATATTATTATTTTGCCAAAATTTTGTTAGAAGAAAACATTTTAGTATCAGGCTCATCCTTACACTCCTTCAACCAATTCTTTACGAACATTAAATCCCCCACCCCATCCAATCTCAATACTAATGTAGTATATTCTGTTTCTTGTAATGACTGTGCTTTTCAATATATTGGACAAACCTCCCAATATGTACACAAGAGAATGAGACAACATGAACTAAGTGTGGTCCACCATAAACAAAAAAATTTCAAAAGTACCCTAGTACAACACTCTATAGAAAACGCCCATTCATTTAATTTCACTCCAAAGATTTTATATCACGAAAGTTGCATCTTTAGAAGGTTATTCGCGGAGAGTTGTCTCATCCTCATAAATGTTTCTAACAGTGTCAACATTAGATCAGATCACAACCTATTACATGATTCATATTTAAATTTTTTACACTTTTTGACAAACAATTAATATCGACTTCCTTTTAAGATCAACAATTTAAGTATTCACACCCTGACATATAAAAACACACACATACAATCTCACATCTCTCGTTCAAGTGTTTACACGTGTTACAAAAGGCACACCAGTTTCATTTAGTTAATTTTCGAAAACCAATCGAACAACATCCAGAGAACAATATTATTTGTGTTTTCAAATAATAATTTTAAAAAAGACAAATTTTTTAGTAATTTTGATTTACAAAATCTAATTATTCGGCGGAAAATTAACTCACAAAATCATTTTTGTTAAAAAAGCTTGTTTAGTGAAAAAGTGCTAACAAATATTCAAACATACAGGTAATTAATTCAACTTTGTCATTAACCTTTTCTTAAAAAATTTCCATAACTTTCAAAAAATTTTCTATTATGTTTAATATCCTGTTCTGATAATCCACTCATTTATTTTTATCATTTTTATTTTGAACATATTATCATATTTCTGTACATTATTATATTTTTTACAATTTAATTCATTATTTAAGAAAAATCTATTTTCTTTTCCTAAACATATTGTTTGCTAAAATCTCATCAAGATCATGTTTCTTGACAGATGTCCTGAAGATGGAACGTACCTAGTTCCGAAACGTCGACAATAAACAAATAATTAAATAAAGAAATTGTTTTTTTAAAAACTTTTCTTGTTTTTTATTTTGTATTATTTTTGGATTCTTGTTCGAAACTCTACAAAATATACACAAATCCAAGACTCTACCATTCAATATATATATATATATATATACATATATATTACATATATATAAAGTTATTTAGATGTCATTGTGACAGTAATAAAAACAAATATGCATTAATTAAAATATAAAATATAAAATATAGGCATAACTTTGGGCTTTTTATTTATAATGGCAAGGTATGAATATTCGAATGTGAATCCTTTAAGATAAAATAATAATATTCATTATTTGCAGCCAGAATGATATGATAGCTAAAGAAAATAATGATATTTTATTGAAAAATGATCCAAATAATAGAACACCCGCTCACGTGAAACATGCACCAGTACTATGCAGTATTTCTCTTAAAGCCCAAGTCAATTATGAAAAATTTCTCGACATACTAAAGGACGAATTTGAGAGAAAACGAGAAAGTAAAATTACTAGACCTGAAACATTAGAAAATTTTGAAATCCTGCAAATGATTGGCGAAGAAAGTGCTTCAGTTCGAATCGTAGGCGTTAATATTATTATTTAATTAATATAATCAAAATATAATAGAATATTTCAGTCGCTAGGTAGATCTAAGACGAACAACATATACTATGCATTTAAAATATATCTAAAGGAAGCGATTATCAAATCAAAAACTAAAAAGCAATTATTATCTGAGAAACGATTATTGCAAGCATTTCATTTTCCGTTTGTAATAAATTTGGAATTCTGCTTTAAGGATAATAACTATATTTATATGGTTATGCCGTTTATGATTGGTGGAGATTTATTTTCCCAGTTAAAAAGGTATTATAATAAATATATATATATATATATATATATATATATATATATTTGGGTTTTAAGATCGGGCGTTACATGAACAAAAACTTGAATGAATGTTTTTGCCCGTAGGGTAAATTAATCTTTCAAATATCGAGAATAAATTTTCTTGCAGATTTCTACCTTTCAGAGCTTTCTGAACATTTTAGCTTACCACAGAAAAAATGGATGTGTGTGTATATGTATGTATGAAATTTGAATTGAATGTTTTTGCCTGTAGGGTAAATTAATCTTCCAAATATCGAGAATAAATTTTTTTGCAGATTTCTACCTTTCAGAGCTTTCTGAACATTTTAGCTTACCACAGAAAAAATGGATGTGTGTATATATGTATGTATGAAATTTGAATTATTCAAAAAACATCAGATACCTAATTATCAATTTGCCAAGGAACGATGCCATGTACCACTAGTTTAAATTTATTTGAAATCCATACCAATAATAATAAACTAATCTGAAAACACAATTTGGCTTACAATATTACAAATAATGAAAATAATACATATTATATTCCTCCATGGGTTTAATTAATTCTAATATAAAGATAGCAAATTGGTTTTATTGGTTTATTACTATTATTTTTTAATTAAATTGTTACAAATTATTTACTAAGGTTAATTGTTATAGCTGATAGTATATTCCACCAATTGGAGGCTAGGATGTCAGCCGAAACATTTTTGTATTGTTTAAAGAACACCCGGTCTTTAAACCTATCTAATATATATCACATCAACATCAAATTCGAGATTATTAACATAAATGTTTATTTCATGTATTCAATCAGACTTGGCAGATTCAACGAAAATCAAGCAAAATTTTATGCATCACAAATAATATTAGCCTTAGAATATCTTCATCACATGGGTGTAATACATAGAGACCTTAAGCTGGAAAATATTCTGGTTGATAAAAATGGATACCTAAAATTAACTGATTTTAGTTTCAGTAAAGTAAGAAAAAAAATAGACTAAATTTTATAAAACTGTAAATGAATTATATTTATCAGAAATATAAAATATAGCATTGAACAAAATTCTATTATATCCTAATCTATTATTACCTCGGCTAGATAACAGACGATCGCACTGCAACTTTCTGTGGCACACCTGAATACATAGCTCCAGAAATAATCATGGGAAAGACTTATGGAAAGGCAGCAGATTGGTGGTCTTTTGGCGTTTTGCTGTATGAAATGGTATCAGGTCATACACCCTTTTATGCAAACGACACAATGAAATTATATGAGAAAATTGTACAAGGCAAATATAAATTTGATGAACACATTGGGAATGATATCAAAGACCTCATACGCAATATTCTGCAAACGGACCCTAGCAGGAGGTAATTTGACTCAAAGATTAGAAAGTTAAAGGAACAATCTTTTATAAATTATTAATTATTTTAAGATATGGAAACTTGTACAGTGGTATATTAGATTACAAACATCATAGATGGTTTCTTGGCACAAATTGGACTGCAATGTTAAATCGCAAAGTAGAAGCTCCTATAATACCCAAAGTAAAGGGACCAGGCGACACAATCTATTTCAATAAATACCATGAAGTACCACTTAAAATATCACCAGAGAATCAATATGAAAAGGAATTTGAAGATTTCTAATAATTTTTAATACCCCATTATGATATGAAGGATTTGGTTTCATACTACAACTCTTCATATTAATCTAGTTTTATTTTATCAAAATATACAATGGCAAAAAAAATAAAATTTACACTAACATTTTTAAATATAAAGTAACTTATCCTTATATTTTTCTAATTACATTCAATACACAAATATCTATGAAAATTCACATTCTTTTAAATTTAATTACTGACATTGATGGTGGCTGGCTTGTCAAACTTAAAATATAAAACTAACATATACGGATGTATACAATTATTAATATTGTCAACAAATGATGGCATTAAAGTATTGTCCTATATATAAAGTTTGAAAATTTACATAAAAAATATGAATAATTAAAAATCTCACTCCCGAAATGAGTGTAAGTATGATGTACATATAATCTATTCATGCAAGTGTATTAGGTGTACGAACTGAGAAATCTGAGAATGTTTTCAAATGTGCTTCAAAGTCGTAGTAGTCACTTAATAAAATTAAATTGTTTAAACTGTTACAGATTAGGCCAAAAAAAATGTTAAAATTTTTTCATTATTTACAGACAAAAATTTATAAAAAGGTTTGCTCAAAAAACTTACTGCAATAGTAAATTTTTATTTTTAAATTGTAAATTATTATATCCTTTTACAATAAAGGTATTTTCTGCAATGATTTCAACAAAGATGTTTTTCAAAATGTTATGGAATTGATTTTAATAATAGGTATTAACATTATTAATTATAATACCACTAACTTGTAAAAATAACTTGTTGAATTATCAGTTGTAAATTTAAAGTATCAGTTTTAAAGTTTATGGTAATAATTAAATTCACAAATAATACTATAGTTTCCTATGATATTCATTATTTCAATTACATTTCAGTTGTTAAAAGTGTAATTATTATTTCTGCAATAAAATGCTTTGCAATACATTCCACCATTTGTTAATCATTTTTCAATATTGCTCATCATATTATTATATAGAAATAAACTAATTATTATAAATACCTAATTTAAAAAATACAAAAATATTTCTTTTAACTAAAATAGACACAGTAATTTAAAATGAGAGTTACTGAGGAGGTGGCTGATAACCATATCCGTACCCTTGCGGAGGCGGAGGCGGGCCTTGTGGACCAGGTGGTGGCATTTGTCCAACTGGTTGTCTAGGATACTGATAGTTTTGCCCTGGAGGCGGATACTGGGATGGTTGCGAATAATTTTGTCCAGGATGTGCATAATGATTAGGTGGAGGTGGGTAATTATTTGATGGAGGACCATAGTTCTGATTTGGAGGAGGAGGGCCATACTGCTGCATTGCAGCACCGGAACTTACAGGTGGCTGTGAGTTAGGCGGAGGCTGATAGGCTGCAGGAGCCGGACTTGATGACTGTGAACTAGGTGGGTAACTTGACTGACTAACTGGAGGTAAGTAACTTCCTGAAGGAGCAGTTGAGCTAGGTGGGTACTGATTGGATGCTGTAGGGGCAGAATTGATAGGAGGACCACTTTGAGCATATTGTAAGTTTTGTGATACTGTAGGAGATGGGGAAGTGAAAGGTGGTGACTGCGCTGATGGAGGACCATATTGCACAGGTCCTGGACTCGGCTGGTTTGCATAACCTTGTTGCCCTGAGGGTGCAGAACTTGGAGGCTGTGTTGTAACTGGTGGGACAGGTGGCGGGTACCCCACAGGAGCTGGGCCATATTGTTGAGGATAACTCGGATTGGTAGGAGTACCTGGAGGATAAGCACTTTGTCCAGGTGGACCTGCAGGAACTGGACTTCCATAACTAGCTGTTGCTGAATTTGGAGGGCCATAATTACCCCCAGGGTTAGACGGACCATATGCAGCAGGCTGACCTGTGCTCACAGGTGTGTAAGAAGAATTAGCAGGAGGTGTTATTGGCGGTGGCGGGCCATAATTTTGTTGTGCTGGTGGTTGTTGAACAGGCTGATAAGCTGGTCCTTGAGGGCTTGGATAACTACCTGCTGCCTGAGCAGTCGTGGTAGATGTGCTATGAGAATAAGGGGGTTGGGAATTTGCAGGATAGGATTGTGGTTGACCTGCAGGTGGACCCCCATAAGGTTGTTGATTTGGGATTTGGTAATTAGATTGCCCTTGCTGTGGTGGGTATATATTTGATTGTTGATTGTTTGGATATTGTGCAGGATATTGGGAATGTTGATAACTACGATGGGGATAGTTTTGAGGTATTGCATTACTTGGTCTTTGTGGCAAATTTGATACTTGGTTTGGAATACCTGGAGAAGATCGATAAGATTGCTGCGATTGCGGATGATTATATGCAGCTCCAGGCTGACTATTTGGTGGGATTTCACTAGCTGGTGGTTGTCCTTGCGGTGTATTTAGTTGAGAACCATTAGAGCCATGTGGAGGAGGAGGTTGGGGACTAGCACCAGATTGAAGAACTTGTGGAGGCTGTAGTAATATGTTCACTTTCAGATTATAATTATAATTTCAAACTTCATAGCATAAATAAGTAACTTTACAAATATGATTTCAAATGAATGCATAATGAATACAAATTATTTGCTCTACACATAATTAGCATAATAAAAGTACTACTTACAGGCAAAAGCGCTTGTATATTTTGATTTGAATCTGCAATTGATGCTAAATAAACTAAATTCCTATGCAACACCTGTTGGTATTGCACGCATTCATTTGCTTTTCCTTTTGATTGATATTCTTGTATAGTTTGTATTAAATGACTATTTTCGTCAAGCATCTTTTGAATTTGAGCTGGATTTACAGGAGGCCGGTTCCCCCGCTGTACGAACGCCACAGACATATTGATCGAATAAATTAACTTAACTTCAAAATTAAAATTTAATACCACTGATACACGAATTACATTCACAGTTTTATACACAGTCTTATATATATTAACGTAAACTCAAAAATTTCGCATAACCAAGCGAAATCATAATTTTGCTATTACATCGAGTGAAAACTTTTTTTTCTTGTACTCAAATTCACAATTCGACATACACCTGAAGTTTGCAGATTATTCATGAAATAAGCAACTACATTATTAATTTTAAGCAACCAAAAAATATGATATATAACTGTAGTTTCTATCAATGGAATAAGTAGACGTGTGAAACGTTCCAATAATATGATTTTATAATTACCGGTAAACTAATGTAAAAATATCGTGCAAAAAAACATTTCGATGTAGACGTCATTTATGAACTTTCCAAGTTCAATTTTACTCGGTTGGTAACAGTGATAAATATGCCAATGGCGACTTTGGTTGATTTGTGCATTCTTATTTTAATAAATATCTCATTATTTTAATAATTTCAATGTATTTATAAAGTTTTTAATCGATTATAATAGTGAAGTTTATTAATTCATGCAAAAGTTATGAAATAAACTTTGATATGCCCCTTACTGCAGTGTTCTACAGTGGTTTGTAAACAATGTTTTCCCTCCTGCTTAGTTTTGGCATTTGTGCTGTCACTATTTGTTTACTTCTTCAGTAGCGCACGAACAGCTGTGCAATGAGGTTGTAAATGCGTTCGTGTAATTTTTTTTTAATTTCTCTGCGAATTCGCGTAACATAAAATAATTACAATAATGAATGAAATATCTGGAAAGGAAATACCTGGCCCATCAGCTTGGGATAATCCAATGCATACACAGCATGACTTAAACACCTCAATGCTCGGATCTCCCAAAATACCAAATGAAATTAATCTAATGACCTCTCCTAATGCTCCATGCACACCCCAGGGGCCCCCAGCAGTGTCAGTTTTTAATGATGACTTACATCCTGAACTTGTTCATCAGGGTTGGAGAAAATTTTGGTCTAAACGCGAAAATCGACCTTATTTTTGGAATAAATTAACTGGTGAAAGTTTATGGGAGACACCACTAATAAAAGCACAGTTCGATCCTATAACAGACCCTCTAGGCATATGCCATGCTGGACCTCAACCAGTTACAACTTCACCCATGGGTCTAAAACGCAGAGCTTCTGAGGATGGTGGACCAATAGCCAAAAAGTTTATTTTACCGGGGCCATGGGATTTAGAGATCCCAACAAATGTTATAATTTATGAACGCGCTCCAACTATTGCTCCACATCCACATCCAGAAATTGAGGGTTACCGATGCGGTTTGACATCAAAGCTGAGACAATGTTATCAGGAACTTTGCCAGTCAAGAGAAGGTAGAAAGAAAGAATCTTCCTTTTTGCATTCATACCCATCATTCTGCTTCATCATGAAAAAAAAACTTATATTTTTATTAGTGGCATTATCAATAAAACTCTATTCACAAATGTGTTTTCTTTACGTTTATTTTAATTTATTAGTTGTCTTCATCTTCCTTTATAATTTTTTCATTACTTCTGAATAAGTATTTTATGTTTAATAATGTTAACAATGTGATATTGAAACTAAAAATTTAAAATATAAATTATAATGAATGAAATAAAAGTTAAGAAGGCTTATAACTTATTTCATTCGATTACAATAGAATATGATATTTTAGTTTTACTAAAGAGTAGAATTCCTATAATGAATAAGTAATATAAAAATTGATGATTTCTTGATATTTTACACAAATCTTAAACAGTAAAAAAATGTTTAATATTTGTTATAACAAAAATAAAATAAAAGGTTAATAAATAAATAAATAAAAGTTTCTTTAAATAAGTCAGTTTGATTCAATTTAGTAGATATTTTAGGATTAAAATTTTTAATTACCTTGCATTCGTTTCTATCTTAGGAATAAATGCACCAAAAGACTCTTTTAATCGATGGTTGATGGAACGAAAAGTAATTGATCGTGGTACAGATCCTTTGCTACCAAGTAACTGCTGCCCAGAACTGTCCATGTCTATGTTTCGAGAAATTATGAATGACATACCTATTAAATTAATAAAGCCTAAATATACTGGAGATGCTAGAAAGCAACTTTCTAGATATGCAGAAGCCGCAAAAAAGATGATAGAATCACGCAATGCTTCACCTGAAAGTCGAAAGGTAGTTAAATGGAATGTAGAAGATACATTTCAATGGTTGCGAAGAACTGTTGGTGCCACACATGATGATTTTCAGGATAGACTTTCTCACTTAAAGGTTAGTTGTATAATTCTCAAACAAGGGTTACAATAAAGTGTTAATGAAAGGAGATATATCATACTTTCTGTTAATATTTTTTAACAGTAGTTTTATTTTTTTCAGAGACAATGTCAACCACATTTGACAGAAACAGTTAAGGTTTCTGTTGAAGGAGTTTGTTTGAAGATCTACCATCTATCTGCTGAACATGCGAGAAAAGTGAAAGATAAACATAGTGCACTGCTGAAAGAACAAGGCATAGAAGAGTTAAGTGCTCCAATACAACAATCAGCATTGCGAAAAGTATGGTGTTATCCCATACAGTTTGCAATACCTGCTACAAGAATGCCAATTGTAGACTATATGCCAGATAATAGATCTCCGGACCATACATTAGTAACATATCATAAAGATACAGTTGCAATAAATACTACACACTTGACAAAATTGGTAAATAAATAATTTTAATTAAATATTTTAAAATATGGAATTCAATATTCAAGTATTTTTATAGGAGCATCTGTACAGATACAGTTGTTTTGATGATAAAAAATTTGAACTATTCATTCCTCGAGTTTGGTGTCTGCTTAAAAGGTACAATACCTTTCTGGGGGCATATCCCGATTTAAGAAATGGAGCTAGTCCTTCTGTTGAAGGTCAACTTACACAAGCATCACTTCCCGTCACTGTCTTTGAATGTTTGAACAAAATGTTTGGTATTACTTTTGAATGTTTTGCAAGTCCTTTGAATTGTTATTTTCGACAATATTGCAGCGCATTTTCTGATACAGATTCATATTTTGGATCAAGAGGGTAATTCAACAATTTAGATTTTTGAAAACTAACATTTGCAACATTATTTATGTGCATTCTTTATGTAGGCCTTTTCTGGACTTTAAGCCTGTGTCAGGGTCTTTCCAAGCAAATCCACCATTTTCAGAAGAATTATTAGATGCAACTGTGCATCATATGGAAAGGCTTCTGTCTGATTCTCCAGAACCTTTAAGGTCACTATCTTATAAAATAAAGCTATTTCATAACATATTTGTGTCATAGCCAATACTGACATTCAATGATTCATTATAGTTTCATTGTTTTTCTTCCTGAGTGGAGGGAACCACCCTTAAATTCTTTAATGAAACTTGAAGCCAGCCACTTCAAACGGAAACAAGTAGTGGTGCCTGCATGTGAACATGAATATCGGCATGGATACCAACACCTTTTACCCAAGTAAGTTATAAAAGAATAAACTTATAATAGAAAAGCAAGAACAAGAATCTTTTTCCTAATTTTATTAAGTTGTGAATGTGTTCGAGTTTTAAATAACTTTTGATACTCTTCAATCAATATCGTTGAGCTCCCATAAACATTATTTCATTTAACATTTTCAGGACGGATATAAATGTGCGTTCTGTTCATGGAACCTTGGTAGTATGGTTACAAAATAATGCAGGATACACGCGCTGGGGCCCTACAGAAGAGCGTGTCGAAGCACTTTTAGAAGCCTTTCGGCCAGGGAGAGAACGCGAACGAGATAAACAAGAACTTCTATCTCCTCAACGAGTTGTGGAACCGGAAATGTTGAAACCCTCAATAGCTACAGCGACTACGACCGCAATTGTTATACCGTGATTAGTTACAAAGTGAGCAAAATAGTGAAAAAAAAATATGACTATATTATTTATGAAAATTCTTTTACTGGTAAAAGTAAATTCTTTCATCTTTTACTCGTCGACAACTTCAATTTGAGACATAATTTCTATGAAGTTAATATGTTGACACAAGCACTACTGCAAAAGTTATAATACTTATGAATTTGAAAGATGATAGATAGATAGTAAAATTATAAAATGAAGATGTGATGTCATATTATATATCGTTTATAAGGATAAGACCAATATATCTTCAATGTTAAAATATAATAGATTAGATTTTTTTTTATTAACATGTAATTTGTATAACTCTCTCTTTACATGTCTTAATTGATTTACGTGGTCTGTGGTAAATTCATAATTCACAAAGTATAAACATCATACTAAAGTTCGGTCAGATCAGATAGACAATTTGATATTGCTTACAAGCCAAAAAGTTCAATTTTCTTATACGTTTAGATATAATATATAGTTGCAGATGTAGGTCAAAAATCAGAAATCAAAGTTACATGTATAATTGTAAATCATTGCACATAAAATATTATTTTATGAAATAATATTTTGTCTTCATTTGTATACATAGTATACAAGTAAATGTATACTTTAAAAAAATGTTTTTGATTGTAGAAAAAAAAATTGATGCAATGTTATGACAAACCGACATAATTTGAAAGAAAGCCGCTTTCTAATCAGTTTTGTAATATTACTATATGAATATGAAACTATTACATATAATTTATTTCTTAACTTTATTTCTATTTGTTGTTATTCAAATTTATTCTTCAAAAAAATTATTTAAAAAAATAATTACATCATAGAACCTTATTTGAAAAGTAAACATTAATAATTTAGTAATTTCTTTGAAAATTAAGAAGATATTAAATTTAATTAAATATTTCATATTCACAGAGTAATTCGAATAAAATTATAGGATTAGTCAAAACCCCATAAAAATGATTTACATCAACAGTGTTAAGTGTTTCTGTTAAGTTACTGCAAACAGTAGATATCTATAGTTATTATGAATTAATAGATAACTGAAAGGAATTTTAAATTATTTCAAATGAATTTTATTGTATATTTAACTATATATTGATTATCGTATAGTTATTATTGTTATAAATGTGATTAAATATTATTTTTATAAAAGAAAGAAATTTATTTATGACACAATAATATATTAGGAATGACACATAGAGATTATCATATTTTATGTTGTTTAGATATAAAAATGTGCTTTTTAACCAATTTAAAATGCTCATTCCAAATAATTTTAAATGGCCATCTATCTTATATATGGTTTTCTAGAATCTCAATAATTTTAAAGTAAAATTCATTATCTGTTAAGTACGTTAGAAAAAGTAGGCAAAATATTATTTTGTGCTTTTATTTATTTTTGTAATCTTGCTTTCTTATATCATAGATTTTATATATAATATGGAATGTTATTAGTAATATTTTGTAATGTGACATTAAAAAATGAATTATGAAGAAATGTACAAATGAATACATTTTTAATTAAAATGTAATAAAATGTATTATATCATAAAAAAATTATTAATAAAATGAAATTCAACACGGTTACTGGCTTCTTTTTGTATTATTTTGTTAATGTTAACAGGATTGAAATACAAATTATATAGATCAAAAAATCTTTGACTTAATATGCAATTGATATTTTTAATTTTCAAACCACAATGCTATTACCAAATTAAATATAGTTTTAACATTGAACACAAACTATCATTTGCAAAAATAATAAAGTAACCTGACAATAAAATATGATAACAACAGGATTCTATCTAACACATAAAAAATTATATTAGATTTATAATATTACATACCATAACAAATTTACCTGTATAAAAAATCCAACCATAACAATAACATAACCGTAAAAATTTGTCTGTCATCTAATTTTGACGTTTGCTTGCAAAGAAAGTTACATTTTATTATGGTTTTTCAGTTAAAGAAATTAAAATATTTAGGAAATGAAGTATAAGATAGAATTAAGCAACGATAAAATATTTCCTAAAAGTTCATCGATTTTTCCTCAGGAAAATGTAAACTATATACATTATGATGATTTAAAATATGATACATTTTTCGAGAATTATTTAATTCCAAATGTTCCTTGTATAATAAAAAACGCAACAATAAATTGGGAAGCTTCTAAGCATTGGATAATAAATGATAATATAAATTTTCAATATATAACAGAAAAATATGGAAATACTATTGTACCCATTGCAAACTGCTCAGTACAATATTACAACGCACAGAAAAAAATTGATATGAAATTATCTGAGTATTTAAATTACTTTTCTGGTCATCAAGAAATAAGTGAAAATCTGTATTTAAAAGATTGGCATTTTCACAAAGATATACAAGAAAATATTTATACAGTTCCTCTTTATTTTGCATCAGATTGGTTAAATGAATATTGCATAGATTTAAATAAAGAAGACTATATGTTTATTTACATGGGACCAAAGGATTCCTGGACACCTTTTCATGCAGACGTATTTTCATCTTTTAGTTGGTCAGCTAATATAACAGGCCAAAAACGTTGGCTGCTCTTTCCCCCTGATACTGAAAAAACCCTAGTCGATAATTTAGGAAATTTACCTTTTGATATTGATCAATGTGAAAAATTTACAAAAAATGGTACACAGTTTTATGAGGTCATCCAGAACCCAGGTGAAGTTCTATTTGTACCATCAAAATGGCATCATCAAGTATGGAATTTGAAAGATACATTTTCCATAAATCATAATTGGTTCAATGGTTGTAATATCAATATTGTATTTGAATCGATGTTATCAACTTTACATGATATAAAAAAGGAAATTTCTGATTGTAGTGATATGGATTCATATGATGACCATTGCCAACTTATGCTGAAGTCAATATTTGGAATGGATTTACAAGATTTTTTTAATATATTATATCATATTTCAATAAAAAGAATCAATAAAATAACATTGACCGAAGATATAATTTTATTTGAAAGTTACTCCTTAGGATCAAATCATTGCAAATTTGACCTGGAAAGTATTTTTGACCTCCTGAAAGCCTTCATTGAAAATGAGGATGCAATGAACATTGATTGGTCTTCAAAAACATGTTCACCTGAACAACTTGTTATTCAAATTGAAAATACTTTAATGTAATTAGGTGTCTTCAATGAAATATTGTTGAAAATAAAATTAATATATTAAAAAATATTAATTACAAATTACTTTATAATTTGCTCATTTTTGATTGCTCTACTACTCCACTGGATATCAAATCATCTATTTCTTGTTTATTATAGTTAAGTTTTTGCAAAATAGTTATTGTATCTTTTCCAGGCAAAGTATTTGATAAATTTGCTCTGGTCATTCCAGGAGTTCTATATAAGAATGGTGCAGGCTTGGGAATCTTATGATTATACTCTGTACTACTTATGAAACTTTCTCTTTCCTTATTATGTTTATTATCTGGAGCTTCAGACATAGTTAAAACTGGTGTGACACAAGCATCAACATTTTCAAAAATTTCACACCATTCTTCTTGAGTTTTTTGAAGAAATTTATCTGATATAATTTTCTTGCTTTCTTCCATATTTGAGAATTGTGGTACGTCATTCACAGATAATCCCAAACCTTCTATAAATTTCACATAGAACTGTGGTTCTATGGCTCCAACAGCCATATATTTATTATCTTTAGTTTTATAAGTGTCATAAAAATGTGATCCGGTATCCAAAATATTTTTACCTCTTTCGTTGCCCCAGATTGGTAAATGCTGTGATCTAGTGATCCAGCTTGCAACATAAGCTGCCCCCTCAACCATATTAGAATCTATGACTTGTCCTTTGTTAGATTTAAATCTCTCAAGTAATGCTAATGCAATTCCAAAAGCACATAATAGACCACCCCCAGCAAAATCTGCTATCAAATTGATAGGAAATGTAGGCTTTTCGTTGTATCTACCTAATAAAGATAAAACACCAGAAATTGCAATATAATTAATATCATGACCAGCCCTCAAGCTGTATAGTCCTTTCTGACCAAATCCTGTTAATCGAGCATAAATCAATCTAGGATTTTCTGCCAAAAGAATATTAGGCCCCAAGCCCAATTTTTCCATAACACCTGGCCGAAAAGGTTCAATTAGAACATCGCTTACTTTACAAAGCTTTTTTACAATGTCAACTGATTTAGTATGCTTTAAATCCATAGCAATTGAAGATTTGCCATTACCTAAAACATCTATTGTATGTGTCTGTCCAACCTATAATATAATTTTAATGAGATCAAATATATTAAAATTATAGGTGGTAATTTCTACTTTATCTATTCTGGTAACAGATGCTCCAAATTCTTTAAGAATCATTCCACAAAACGGAGCAGGAGCCAAACCAGCAAATTCTAAAACCTTTATTCCTTGCAATGGCATGGTAAATATTTAAATAGTTCACTAATTGAACTTAATAATATAAAAGAAATTTTAGAAAACAGATAAGTCTAACAATGATTTGCACTGCCGCAGTACAAAGTGCGATTTCATTAGCATAACGATTTTGTTGGAATTTTGAATTCAATTCATCTAACAACAAATATTTCGATGTTATACATTTTTTATTTGCTTTGATATTTAAAAAACGTATGTTTGGATATGGTTAATCTATTTGTTTATAAGGCAAAATAAAAATAAAAGAAATAAATAAATAACAATCATTTTGACAGTTCGCCGCCATGTGCAATTTGACAGCTCTAATTGTCAAACAAAGGGTGCGTTCGACTTGGACGCTTACGCGCTGTGAGCGCTCACGCTTATAAGCACGAATTTTTAGCGTTCGACTTGGCCGATAAGCGCTCAGAATCGATAACTAAATTCCGTTCGTTTTGGATACTGTGAGCGTCAATAAGCATCAAAATGGCGGCAACTGGCGGTAACGGTAATTGTGTAAATTTTATTACTTTCTGGATCATTCAGCGGGATTATAAAGAATTTAACAATTAATAAATAAATGAAATTTGGTTTGCTTATGCTTAATTAATATTAATATTAAAATTAAAATTTAAAATTATTTAAAATTAATTAATATTAATATTAATATTAAAAAATAATTGTGATATACAACTTGGCATTTTTGCGGGATTATAAAGAATTTAACAATTAATAAATAAATGAAATTTGGATAGCTTATGGCTTAATTAATAGTAATATTAAAACTAAAATTTAAAATTATTTAAAATTAATTGAATTTAAAATAAATAAATAATATGAATAAAATAAAATAAATAATATGAATAAAAAATAAATGTGATATACAACTTGGCATTTTTGCGGGATTATAAAGAATTTAACAATTAATAAATAAATGAAATTTGGTTAGCTTATGCTTAATTAATAGTAATATTAAAATTGAAATTTAAAATTAATTAAATTGAAAATTAATTAATATCAATATTAATATTAAGAAATAATTGTGATCTACAGCTTGCCATTTTTGCGGAATTATAATGAATTTGACAATTAATAAACAAATGAAATGACAGATAGTAAAAACAACTGACGCTCACGCTCACGCTGCCCTACCTCTGTGGCGTGAGCACGTATGAGCGCAAAATATGTGCTACGAGCATCCTACGATGGTGCTACGAGCGTACTTATGCCACACTCACAGCGCCAAGTCGAACGATGAAAGCGCGCTCACGGCGCGCTCACAGCGCGTAAGCGTCCAAGTCGAATGCACCCAAAATAATCTTGAATATTTAAATTTGGGCGCGATTGATTTTCATATTTATCGGTACTATAGCAACCGTATAGATTTTTTTTAAATTTAGAAGCAATAACTATAAAGATATTATCCATGTTTTTATAACATTTATTTTGCAGATTTTTTATTTTTAATATATTTAATATGATCTTTTCATGATATTTGTTACGTGATATTCCAAGTACCATTTATCAAATAGAAGAATCCCAAAATAGGTGTAGAATTCTAATCATACAAAAATGGACGAGTTAAAACATTTAAGTATCCACCATACTGCTGTGAAACTTTCAGATGAAATACAAAAAATGGAATCGTATAAAGATCTCTACAATGAAATTCAAGTAGGGCTCATAATATATGCTTTCTGGAGTAAGATGTTATATACCTATTTTTTTTAGAAATTAGCCGCTTCAACTGCTGTGAAGAAGGATGATTTTAGAAATAGTTTATTAACAGCAATGAAAGCAAACGGCCTGGAAACAGAATTGCGCAATATGGTATACCATTGGGTTCGAGCTCAGAGGAAAATAGAAATAAGCCAGTCGCCTGTATGTTTTTGAAATACTTTTCAATATCTTTCTAATCAAAACTATTGCATATTTATTATCACATTATTTATATTGAAGAATGATCCCATATCCTTCTTAAAAAAATGCCAATTACAATGGGAAAAACGAGTTCACAAATCTTTGAACTCAATGGGAAACGAATTATCAGAACCATTAATTCAAGAAAGAGACTCGGCAGATAAGGATCAATTAACAATGCATTGGGAAGGGTTAAGCAATTATGTTGTGGGTATGAAATAATGAAATACAGTTTGCTTACAATTGTTCAACAAAAATCTTATAATTTAGATTTAACCCAATACCGACCAGTTTATGCTCCTAAAGATTTCTTAGAAGTTCTTCTATCACTGAATGGTCCAAATGCAACAAATTCAAGGTAAGATAATTGATCATTTTCCTTTAATCATTTTCATTTAATAATATAAATTTTGGTAGTGCAAAGACACGCTGGGAATTTTCACATATACCAATAAGAGTGAAGAATATGGCTCAGTTGGTAAGATATGGAAATAATTACTGAAGTATATATTATAATCTCTGAAATACTGTTTTGAAAACTTTACAGAGAGTTCATTTTTCTGAGCTGTGCCGTGTAACAGCATATTCATCCAGAGAGAATAATCCTATATCAGAAAAAATTTTGAGTTTCAATCATGCTCCACTTGCTCAAGAAGCTTTGAAAGGTAAGTTACTAACCTTAATATATCATCAATATTAAATTTGTGAATGTTAAAACTATTATTCAGCGGGTGCAGTGGTATCTCACAGAGCCGACTTATGGAAAATTGTTTTAGGAAGCGAAGTTAGAACACATGTAATATTTTTTGTTAGACAAACAACATATAATAAAATAATTTACCTATTATAATTCAATGTATGATCTTTTAGCATATAGAACATTTAAATATGTTAAAGACTTCAGTATTAGATATGAATTTTGTGACTGATAAACTAGTTATAAAAGATATACAATTAACAGCATCAAATGATGATCAATATTTTGTGTTCGAAGATGTGTTATATCAGGTATGTAAGGCACAACTTGTATTATATTACAATACGTATAACCCAGAAAGTATTTCAATATGTGTATAGGTCATGTTATGTTTCACAAGAGACACTAAAATAAATCAAATACTAGCAGGTGAACTAGCATTGCCTTTCAAAGTAAGTATTTCAGAGTTATGATTTATTTATGGTATATTATTAATAATTGTTTTTTTGAGGCTCCTCTTAAAACTAAGCATGGAGAGGGACCAATTCATCAGATACCACCAAATGGAATCATACCGTTCCATGGAATTTCTATGTATGGTAAGAATATTATGTTTGAGATTTATATTGAATCAAAATCATCACAATATAATCAAGTTGAATTATTACAGCTGCTCCATTCTGCTATCTATATAGTAATGTTGATACTTTGTACTTTACGTTTCGAGCCTTTTATATCAGATATTGCCATAGATTGACTACTTTATCAACACATCCTCAGGTATTTGACATAGCAAAATATTAATTGAATTTATAATGATCGTTTTCATCTCACAACTGCAGGGTATAGTATGTTTGTGTTTATTGTTTGAAAGATTGCTTCAAACACATGAGCCAGAATTGTGGTCACATTTTCGGAATATTGATGTTAATCCGTAAGTACTTTAACTCTCTTATTTTGAAATAAATCATTTGAAACTTCTATTACCTTCCAAGGTTACGTTTGGTGTTTAAATGGATAATGAGAATCTTCAGTGGGCATCTTATTCCTCAACAGCTTCTGATTTTATGGGATTTGGTAAAGTATTAATAAGTATATATTATGCTCATACTACTCATAATTTTGTATATATTAGATTTTAGGATACGATTCATTGGAAATTGTGCCATTGCTTGCAGTAGTTATATTCAGCTTTAGAAGAGAAAGTTTGATGCAGGTGAACATTTGTTTAAATTGAATCAAATAATAATTAATCAACATTAATTGTATTTGTTTCTACAAGGTTACAAATCAGCAAACAATGGAATCAGTTGTAGCAGATCTTTCATCTGTACGAGTTCTGCCATTAGTCCAAGTAGCACTTGTTCGGGAACAATGAATGAAAGGAATAATAATTGGAAATTTAAATTTATAACTAATATTATATACTTAAATGAACATCAAAACAAGTAACATTATTCTTGAATTGTAAAATTAGCGATTGATTGGTTTCCTTTGCAAGCAGTAAATTTGAAATATAAGACTTATTATGGAATAGATTTTTTGTTGTTAAAAACTAATAAGAAACATTAAATATTGCCTTACTAAAGTACTCACCCATTATTATATTGTAGAGGCACTAACCATTTTAACGTTTTACGTTAACGATATTGCACAGACATTAAAATGCACCACCACTATATTATTATATTGTCTAGGACCACTATTAAATTGCAAATGACATTTTGCAATGTTTAAATTTTATATTCAACTAATTTTTATAACGTTGGTGACAGCAATTTGGCGCGCAAAATTCTATAGTTAACTTCACTTTAAACTTGCTAACTCCTCTTTTGACATTTCATCTGACAAGCAGTCAGATTTGACGGTTATAAAACTAGTATTATTATAAATCATGCCTTCATATTGGATGTTAAAATCAGAACCCAACACTTATTCATTTAAACAAATGGAAACAGACCAAATTACATCTTGGGATGGCGTTCGAAACTACCAAGCTCAAAATTTTATGAAAACAATGAAAATTGGAGATCAAGCTTTTTTCTATCATTCTGTATCTGACAAAGAAATAGTTGGTATAGTGGAAATTATCAAAGAACATTACATGGCAGATGATCCTAAATTTGGAATGGTAGATGTGAAATTCATCAAACCACTAAAAAATCCAGTAACACTTGCAATGTTGAAATCGAATCCCCAATTGAAAGATTTACTCATGTTGAAACAGTCCCGATTATCTGTTTCGCCAGTTTCTGAAAGCTGTTGGTTGGAAATTATGAAAATGAGTAAAGATAGTTAGTATATACTATGTATTGTAATTAATTAAATGTTTTAACATTTTTGTTTGTATGTTGTATATAAAATAAAAAATTAAATCATGTTTAAGATTATATTTTGTTGATTTCATCATTACATTATTTGCTATTTGTATTTACAGTGTTAAATTTATATATAAGGTATAAGAATATAAAGCTTTCATATATTTTCATAGGATTAAGCTGTACTTTGCATACAAACTCATTTGTTTACATCCTAAATATCCTTTTAAAAATTAGCCGGACAAATAATTATGTGGAGATAACGTATTACTAATTAGTTTCAGAATAGTTTATATGGCATTTGACAAGCAAAATTATTGAAGAATCAATGGTACAATTTTCAAGATCAAGACTATGCCATATTTTATTCTTCATACATTATCTTTATAATTATTTCAGTATATCTTATGAATTGTAATTTCAATTCTGGCAGTGGTATGTGGTTATATTCATAACTTTATAAAACTCTTGAAAAATTGTAATTACATATCTTTATGAATTTGTATGAATTTCAATATATATCTCATAATAATTAATAATACATAAATATAGATTCTACGTAGATATTTGATCATTAACAAATTTACTTATATTGGCTTTAAATTTTGGAAGACTGAGGATGCACAATTTTTTGTATGTATGTACCATATAAATTTTTGGAATATATATAATTGACATAACATTAGTTATATATTTCATATGTACATTATCTATTCTACTAAAAATTTAATATAGAAACATTTATACATATAAAAATACTAATCTAAACTACTTAAGTATTACAAAAATATTAAGACTATTCGATAATGCTTAAACTTTTTTTTAATTACAAATGACTAACCAGTGGTATTTGTTGTTATTCGTGGTATATAAAATCATTACACACTTGCAAATCAGCCTGTCCACTAATGTATTGTATATAATGTGGATAATTACGTTACATCTTAACTTCATAGAATGATATCTAACAAAGCACTGGCACTAAATAATTAAAAAGAAATCTATAAACATATTTTATCTTATATTCCTACAATGCAGTTGTCTAGTGTATAGTATTGTAAAAATAGTATGAATTGTGATATGTTATTACATGTATATATTTTTATCAAGTGCATTGGAAACAGGCCAAAATGCACCTGAAGCGTATTTCTTAGTTTTCCCCTTCTATACACACTTTATAACGTAGTTTCATTAATTTGTTTTTTTTTTTGGCTTTTTGTTAAAATTTAACTTATATAATAATGTAAAATTATAAGCATTAATCTTAATATACTTACAATTACAATCAGAACAACTGGGCTCTTTAGTAACAATTGATAAATATCTTTTTATTTTAAACATTGAGTATAAAATTCGTATCCCAATATAAACAAATGAAGTATAGCAAATGCAAAGAACTATGCTTTTCCCCTTTTTTAATCGATATAATAATATTTCTTGTCTTTTATGTAATTTAGAGGTACTGGACAGTTGTGAATAGTTAAATTTTTATACTAATTATAATGAATAATCTACATATTAGGTACATTTTACACATGAAGTGTTATGAAAGACTATATATACAAAGGATTTTAATATCTCATACCACTTACATGCTTTTTTGATATTGCAATTTTTATGCAACACACGATCGTTTCTGCTACTTTTTATTATTTATAAAGTGTTAAGTAAGGCTAATACTTATTTATTCGCTATCAACACATTTATTTGCTATCTTAGAAAATAATAGAAGTTTTTTGCAAAATGGAAATATGCTTCTATTAAGTTCATCTAGCAGCAATGCCAATCATTGGAAAGAATAATGTTTTCATAAGTATACAACCGCGTCTAGTATCACATTGCTCTTCGCACAATCTGCTCGGTATAACACCGCGGTAAGTTTTTTTGTCAAGCCTCGCTATTGTAACTTACCGAAACCAGAAGCCCTCAGAAATGTACGTCTCTGACATCCGTCGGTGTCACAGACGTAGTCTGGTTGCGGGAACCTGATTTGCTCTCTGATTTTTGTTGATTGGAGAAAGTATTTCTATCACTTATGTCTGATACGCGGGTTTTCTGGCCGTCGAATGAAGCAGAATCGCTTGCACTACCAATACTGTTTCGAGGTGCCCCAGCGGATACAGAAATTGACTGAGAGGACGTGGCGGACGGAGATGTATTCTGCGTTTGGCTGGCCGTCCACTCCAGTACTAGGCGATTAATGCGTTCCCAACAAGAATGGATGAAATCCTATAATAGATAATTAATATAAGTATAAAAATGCGCATAAAATATGTAATTTAGAACACATATGACATAACTAATAAATATAATGCATATTCTTTATTAATCATTCGAAGATACTTTATGAAATTTTCGATTCAGATTTGGACCATAAAAGTACTAGATCGCTCCACCGCCGCTAAATCAAAAGCTGCTGGTACTATGGAGCTTTTTTACCATATCACATGCATTTCAAATGATCAGAAATAAAATCTAATTGAAATTTAACTAATAATACAATTCAATTCTGAATTTTAATCATGGATATCATTCCTTGAAATTACTTATTATAAAACTAACTGAGATGGCCACATAATGTAACAAAATATTAATTCCGTTGATGCATTTTATATTATACTCAGATAAAAACACTCGTTTATATAAACATAATTACCTGTTCTACATTAATAATATCATGCAGGGAATCAATGAAAGCAGCCATAGTAAGGCCGCTACGGCTGAACCATTCCATGCCGCTTAGAGCTTCCACAATGCTAGCCGCACATATTGTACTGGGTGTATATTGCGAGAATCCGTGATCTGGAAAAACAGAAAACATTAACATTTATATTTTTGAATTAAATAAAATATTCGAATCTTGCTTTATAAAAAAAATTCTAACGCTTAGATAGCAAACACTGGAATTTTTATGAACTGAGCAAGAGCCTAATTGAAAAATTAAGTAAATAATTGTTTGAGTGAAAAAGTAGGACTTATATTCTTAATTATATATATATATATATATATATATATATATATATATATATATATTATATATATATATATATGTGTGTGTGTGTGTGTGTGTGTGTGTGTGTTCTGAAACAAGAAAAGTGACAAAGAAAAGGTATGTTATGCACGGCGTGGAATGGTCACGGACGCAAAAAAACATTGGCATAATCGCAGACGTTTCGCCGACAATTTTAATTATTCTCACACACCGAGTTAATCAATAGAGGATCGTAAAATCAAAAATTATGGAGGCGAACCGTAAAGAGAGCTTTTTGAATTGGCAGGCTAAGAGCTTGCGGGCAGAAAATGAATTTGGTATAAAATCCATTGAAATACTATAAATATTAAATAAAGTTTTCACTCAGCTTTATTAGCAACTATTATTTCGTAGCAAGCTCTATCTCGTAGCTTTCGCTTTTTCTTACAATCAGCGCCTGAATCTGCAGACAGGGTGAGAGACGAACCCACGCGTCGGCGCCTCCGATGATGTGAAACGAGATAGTTAAAGGAGATCGCACTAAACAGAGTGCGGCATGTAATTTAAATCTCCGTCGAAATTGCTCAATAATTTGATGTTCGCGCAGAACGAATTCGTCGGCGTCCGATCCGCGGGCGAATGTAGACAAAAGTGCCGAAAATGAAAACTGGCACACGGGGCACGATATGAGATAACGAAGAAGATAGTTGGTCGAGAGCAAAAGGAACGGCCGACATGAAATTGGTACAGTGAATTTTGAGAGGCGTGACCTTGAATCAGCCAACATGAGAACTGATATATTTTTCGCAGAAAATTTTCATTTTAAATTGATATTAAATTTATCAATTATTAGTTTTACTAATATATTCTTGTCACTGTTGATATATATTTCAGGCTTATTCGTTCAAAATATAAACTATAGTTTTATATATTATATAAAATCAATACAAGAAGTATTAAACTAGAATAAGTAGCAAAATATTTAATTCCATATAATTTGATTATAAGAATTTTATCCCTCCACACACTTCTATTTTTTTCACGATGATATAGGGTTAATTGTTGACCGTGTCGGCAACTAGCCGTGTAATCTAGTTGTTTTGGTTAAGATTGGCATAACGATACACGAAGATCTTATTATGAATGATTATAGATCTCTATTATCAGTGCCTTGCAGAAAAGATATCACTAATTTTAAGTAGTTCTGTGCACGCATTTCGACGGTAGGTACTTTTAATATTAGGGTGCGTGATTATTTCAAAAACATATAACTAGTAGATCTGGGATCTCATTTTTTAATATGAAAAACATTGATGAAAAAAAATCGTATAAAAATATTATTTTTGTGAAGCTTTCTTGTTGAATTCACTAGGAATAAATGACAGCAAAAAATTAAAAGTAGTAATTTGCTTACTTTGTTAAATTAACGTAATTAATTTAATAAGAAACCCATCATATATGAAAGCTGGTAACCGGCGTGGACCAACGCACAAATCAAGCAAATTGAGATACAATGAGAATATGTTTTTTTTTCACTAAATAATATTGCTAAACTATACAATATATAATAATACGTTAATATTATATCTGTGGCATCTAAAAATCAGCTCCGACTCTAAAGTTTTTTAAAGTTTTATGAAAACCCAGTATCGACTATGGAGCTTCTATTTCATTTATATAATTAATTAATATAAAGATTAATGATAAGGAATGTGTAAACTAATTGAAAATAAAATAAAAATATTTTAGAAAATAGCTAATTTTTCGACTTGGTTTAATGGCAAAGTATATTTGAAATGGTTGACATATGTTGTAAAAGACAATACATTTTTCACAATAATATGAAATAATTTTGAAGCTGGTTTAAATCAAGTTATTTCATTCATCCATTTTTGTAATATATTCATTAACGAGTGGCGAGTTTGCGATTTGAATTCCATTGTGCGAATGAAGTCCGGAGGTAAGAGGTGGTATGGTATAGTAGGCGCCCACACAGTTCAGACCGGGCCAAAGCACACGTACGCCGGCGACGCGTGAGAACGTGTTCCCATATAGCGCTCTGGCCGCTGCTAACTGGTCCTCAGTCCTCAGTCCTTAGCCTTTCCACCGCCGTGCAAAAACCGCCAGGAATGCAACAAAGCGAAATAACGCGTGCTCCACCAATGATCATCACCAACACGCACAATGCACACTTTCAAACGAAGCGCTCGACACTTATTGATTCAACAATTTTATGCGATTTTCAGAAAACAACAAGTAGGTAAATAGATTAAAATAATAGTAACACAAATTTTATTAAAACAGCATGGTAACAATTTTGTATTTAGATTTTATCATTTTTTTAAATTTGAAGTGTTCACATGCTCAGTAGCCCGTTGCCATATATCAATCATTACATCTTGAATTTTTATACGAATGAGAAACGAATTAGACGTCTGGAAAAGACTTAATTTTGTAAACAATCCATCGGCGTAGTTATAAACTACTTCAAATACAGTCATTTCAAAATTCCAAATATTTACTAAAGACCACCCATATTGTGTGAACCAAAAAATTGTTAAAATGAAATAAACTGATCAATTACAGTTGAAGCAAGAAGATATATAACTAAGAAACGTATTTTTGTAGACAACATATGGAATTATATGTAAACAACGTACAATTTCTAGTTATCTCACAAAATATAGCACACTGATAAAAACTTAAGAGTGCTTCTCATTGTCACAATCTACCTTTCTTATCTGTTGTCAAAGCATTTCAAATTCTACCAGTATCCAAATAATAAGAAATTTAATAATAAAAAATATTTATAATAATTGTAATCATCAATAAAATAATGAATTACTAAAAAATATAGGACTTTTTCTGTGTTTTCTTTTCGAGGTCCGAAAGTTTTAGAAGCAAGTCGATAAATAGTTTTGCGCACAAGAGTTATTATCGAATTCTGCGAAAGCATATAAAACCGGTCCTTCACTGTTTTAAGCCCGGCGCTAGTAATAACCTCAGACCGATTCCAATTTGGGTTTTGGGGGGATTTGGGATTTAGGACCATATCCCCGCCGAAAGACAGAAAGCGAAAATCGAACGTGCGCAGATCAGGCGAAAATCTCATATTCAATATCACGTTGTATAGAAATATTTTATTCATTAAAATTCGTCAAAAATTAATAATTAAATAACTGTTAAATTAATAAATTTCAATTATTAAAAATCTCTCAGTTTATACTACTGTCGAATAACCCAATAACTTATTCAAAAATAAGCATATGTTTAGGGACTTTGCATCATTCACACATTTTAATGCCAGCTGATTAATAATTTCCGCTGAGAATATTCTTGTAAACGCCCTTGAGTTTTTTATCGACAGAAACATATGCACATACAAATTCAGATTTTTTGTGTGAATGAATTTTTTCTGCATAATCTGGTCTGGATAATTTATATTAATAGAATCAATGAAAATGAATGTTAATATTTGAAAGTATTATTCTCATTTAAAATCATTGACTTATAAAATTTTGATGAAGCAGATTCGACATCCATCCAAACGATTTAGCCAAAAATTATTCGCTGATCTCATCTGACTTTTATAACTGTTCTTTTGTATTATTTTTTAGTATTTATATTATATTCATAATAGATTTACAATGTTAAATGTTACCCCTTTTTTATATTTCATTCTTTTTCTTTTACAAATCATTCATCCAATTCCAGCTCGATTTCTCATACGTGCTACTTCAGCGAAATGCTCGTGTTGTCGAATTTCATATTAACTCCTGATTATAATTGTGCTTTTAAATGGTTTTATATTGCTATCGTAAAATAAATGATCACGTTTTAAAAGAGATGTTGACGAATTAAATTGAAGTATAAACATAATAAAAAACGAAACGTATAATCAAGTTATGAAATAAGCAGGCGTTAATATGTCCACGGATAAGAACAGAGCAAAAACTAAAAACTTATGAATGACATTGCAGCCGGAGCGAACGAGAGGCATGTATGGGTTAGAGGAGAGCGGTGACCACACACGCAGGCGCCGCGCTTTTCCATTCATAAAACTTGAAAGCTCCGATTGACCGTGTAAAAAGCTCCGCGCGACATGCGAATGGGAAATAACTAGATCGAATTAATTTAGTGACGAAAATGCAAAGTGAGTATATAATAATTTACAAAATCATATTTACAAACTGTGATTGACGAATATACACGTCATGGAGGAGTGGCACAATTTTTGGTATTTTTGTTTTTGTTTTATTTTTCATAGCAATCTATACGATAAGTTTAGCAACAATTTAATTAACCTCCCGAAGGAAAAGTTTATGTTTTCATCAAAAAATCCGATTCGCTAATTTTATGTTTTCTCGACGTTTCAAGCCATTCTGAATCGAATGAGACCAAATTTGGAAAAAATATGTGTGTGTGTGTGTGTGGTTCTCGAAAACGATCGAAACTGTGCGACGATCGGCCAAGCCGTTTCTTTATAAATCGCAGAAAAGTGAAAAAAGCAATTCTGAATCGATTTTGAAAATTCAAAAACCGTTCGAAAGATATTGGTTGGGAATCGTGCTCATTAGTTTTTGGTAGAGGCCGTCTTCTTGTAATAAAGTTTTAAAAAAAAGAATCGATGATTTTTATGATTATTTTTCTTGTAATTAACTGTTGAAAAAAAAATTTAAGCCGATTTTTATGGATTTTTTTAGCGATATATACCATGGTCTTATAGAACTTTGACGAAAAACAGTGACGTTTTGCTATTAAAATTGAAATTTTTGAAAAATCCAAATTGTTCAGAATATTTTGA